TCATGATACAAGTACTTCATATTAGGCGATTATGTCAAACTCTACGCTTACGTTTTGGCCAGACATATACTATCCCTGTATATGTTTTTAGATTGTGCACGTGTGGTTGATGTTTAAAGGCCAAGTCCGTTTCGATGCCCATTAAACACAGTCACATCCACTTTACCTTTCCTTAGCTGGCATACATCCTTGACGTACACACACTCGCGCACGCGCACGCGCACACATGCAGACAAACACGCACAAACACATCTCGGCTGCAATCAGTCGGCCCCGTGATCCATTGCGCTCTAACGATTGGTCTTTCGGGCAGCGTCGCGGCCTGTGGGGCAGCTCTGCCACTGTGCATCTCATCAGGGCCCATTCATCACCGCACGTCTCTCTCCAACTCCGGTCCTCCATCTTTGTGGCCTCCCAATAACCCGCATGCATGTGACACCCGTCCCGTCACTGACACACGTGGGCATACACTACTTGCCAAAATATATGCTGACCCCAAAATGCACTGTAACTTTTAGAGTTGAGTCTTAATTGGATCTTAAAAGGTCAACTGTGAAGTCATTTTAGAAAATCCCAAACGAAATATGTTTACATCGGAAGTAATTAAACAAAATACATTCAATAAAGCGTGAAAAAATAGTTTCTATTTCATATATTCGATCAAGTAATCATTTTCCCAAAGTGAGATACTGACGAGCGTCAAACCCAGAAAGTGTGACGTCACTTTAAGACAACAACAGCGAGGCTCACCATGGAAAGTGTACAAGGCCAGTTAAAAAAATGATTCGGAAAGCAACGTTTCGAACTTATCCGAAGCGATCCAGGTTTTCGAAGGGTTGCAGGAAGAGGAGGTTGTTGGCAAGATGTATGTTGGAACATACATATACGAGCCAGATGCTCAGGATGCGGATAATGTGCCTGAATGGCCGGACATGGAGTGGAAACGAGATCCACTGGGATTGGAAGAACGGTAAGATATATAGGCTGCGGGTATTATCCTCGCGTTATTGTTTGCATTTCGATGCTGTGCCGTGCTGTAAATTGCGCACCATGGGATGACCCACTTGGTCGATATATTCCCGCTAGCACCGAGAGCACACATTATAGTGTATTGGTGTCCTACATTGTCATTGCTAACATAGTTCTGTTGGCCACTGCGCACCTTATATCTCCAGCATTGTCAGTTGTAAACCATGACAGATGATTCCATCCATGCACTCACATAGTTTGAATATTTTCGTACAGGATGACATCCACGTATAATACTTGGAACCGAATGCGTTCATAAACAACAGCCAGAGTCATTCAATAATCAGCACACCTAGCTTTTTTTGCAAATCCGGTTGAGAAAACAGAGGTCTTCGAAGGGCTTGTAAGAAGAATGCTCATCGGCACCGGCGTGAAATTCATCCGCTTCGTGAGAATGAAAGTGTATCATTCCAATTTTCTGGTCGTTTTACATGCCCGATTCTTGTTTTTTGGCTGCTCCTACAATTCTTTGCCTGAATGTGAACAGTGCATTGCCACAGCGCCGAATAACTCGATAACAATGCCAAAGAGCAATGAACGGGACAATTTCCGATTCTTTTTTTTGGCTGCTCAAACAACTCTTTGCCGGAATGTGAACAGTGCATCGCCACACAGCGCCGAATAACCCGATAACAATGCCAAAGAGCAATGAACGGGACAATTAACAATGCAATACAATGGCTGACTGGCGACTCGGCATTCTGTAAACGACGTCACTCGCCGGAGAATGCCGAACAAAAGCATTTTGGTTGTGAAGCACGTTGCTATGGGTCTAACTGTGAACCCGGGTGGGTTGCGTGATAACGAGTATGCAAGAAATAGTTTTATCCATCCATTTTCAACGCCGCTCATCCTGAAAAGCACAGGTGTCAAACCCAAGGCCCCGGGGGCCAGATCTGGCCCACCACATCATTTTGTGTGGCCCGCGAAAGTAAATCAAACATGTCAACTTCCATAATGCTTGCGAAAATCTCTGCCAAAATTTAAAAGTCTCGTATGTAATAAATAAGAGACATATTGTAAGTATTTTCTTGTTACCAAACCCCTCATTACAGTAACTTAAACAATAGTGGAATGAACCATTATTATTGACTTTTTTATATGCTTTCAGTCACAACGGCCCTCCAAGGGAAACGGTAATTAAAATGTGGCCCAGGACAAAAATGAGTTTGACACTCCTGCTGAAGAGGGTCGCGGGGAGTTGCCGGACCCCATCCCAGCTGACTTCGGGCGGAAAGCAGACAACACTGGGGACTGGTCGCCAGTCAGTTGCAGGGCACATATAGAGACAAACAACCATTTACGCCCACATCGTCACGAGTGGAAATCGGTCCCATGCTGCCCACACACAAGTCAGGCGAGTGTACCACTACACCATCAACGACACTGAAATAGTTTCGGCCCTAAGTATTACTCAGAAGATAGTTGGCCAAGTTTACTTTACACCTGACCTTTACATTTTAAATATCCAACTGTTCATTATTTCTGTCCTTTTTTTCACAACTTGCTGTTCCTTAACATGGAGCTGAATGGCCAAATTCACAAGAGAGATCTTGGCCGGATGAGGTAGCCAGCCATATTGGAGTGGGGTGTTCCTTACCTGGAACTTAGTGGGATTGATAAAAATTAATTGGCATGTCCCAGCTCCTCTCTTAGCTCATCCGTACAGCACCAATATTGCGTTGTTCTATGCAGAGGATAAAGAACATATGACTGTCAGTTTTGTTTTGTTTTTCTGTCTGGTGTTGCTGCACACACTGACTTCAATCCGTTGCTTAAAGGGTTAAAGCGCTGCCACGTCGATGCTAATGGCCGTGTGCGTTAAGCTAGCAGATTGAATGGCGAAGCTATGTGGTTGCATTTCAAGACTCTGCTCATCAGTCATCAGTCAAGCAGCTGTATGGCGAGGGGAGCAGAAGGTGGCGTCCCGGGGCTCGTCGGCGGGTGGTGAGCCGAACACAAGTGCAGGCCTAATGGTGCCATTGTCTACCGTTCTGCTTGAGAGCATCTGGCTCCTCGGGGTGCCAGCCTTCTGCTGACTTGCACCATCTCTGCCCCTCTTGTTCAAGTTTTCCGAGCGGGGATGGCGTGTTCACCCTCGTTGCGCCGTATTTACTGTGCTCATTTTGGACCGCTTTCATCTGTAGACTCCCAGGACGATTCTCTTGGACTGCCAAGTTTCTGTGCGATCAAAAAACAAGACAGACAAATAATTTCAAAACATTCCCTCCGTTAATACAGCTTTTAACCCGCGCAACTCAATTGAGAACAAAAGATATTTTCGAGAGGGGAAGTAAAATTACACAATTGAGATATGGTTGCAAAAGTGTACACATCCTCATGAATGGAGATGCAGCTGTATTCAGATTGCGCCAATCTAATTCTGAATCGTGTTAAATTGGAGTCACCACAGATCCTGCCATCCTATCAATTGCCTCTTTCTTTGGCAATCAATATAAAGTACAACATAGGAAGCAATTGCAGGAATTTTCAGCAACTCCTGGAACAGCTGAACTTTATTAGGGGCAATTGAAATCAAGGCAAATGTGTGCTGACTCCTATTCAACATTAGTAAGAATGCCATTGGCAATTTCTAAACACAGCCTCGTTGGCACTTACGACACGTTCAACCACATTACTTCAGTTGTATAGTTTTGCTTCCACTCAGGATTCCACAATGACTACAGTGCAGTGTAAATGTGCAGCAATTGCTGCATACGTGCTTGGCCAGAGGAGCTCGAATGCAGCTGCAGGGGAGCCGTCCGTCAACGAAAGGGATCGATCCTATTGATTTGCAAACAGGTACTTGGGATGCATTGTTTCCAGAGAACGATATGTCACTGTGTCGTGTGAGTCAAAGGGCCTTGTGTAGAGTTGATACCTCAGCACGGGGCCAGTGTAAAGCCCAATGCAAAGAAAAGGCACGACTGGAGCACTGACGTGAACTAAAGGTGGTGATGTCAGGTCACTATGGCAACAACAGCTGACTTTTCTCCTCATTACAAGCCAATATGGCATCCAGACGATTTCTAAACGACAATTACGACATGTTGCTGCTCGCGAAAAAATACTTTTGGGTCATTTTTCCCGTTGCCGCAGCCCTGCCAGCGCACAACAACAAGCATCCGAGAGAGAATATGTTTCCTGGAAATGGACCACTGGGGAATTGACCCAGAAAGATGTTGATGTAACCGTCCTTGCAGCTCAGCGCCGGAGCCACTGATTTTTGCATTTGTGAGAGAGCCGAGGCGCGAGCCAAGGTGAGGGGTGCGGGGGGATTATGGAAATGTGGGATAGAAACACAGCTGGTGGTCTGTCATGAGCAAGGACAACAATGGATGCGGGACACCCAACATTGGATGTTGATGTCCCCCCCACCACCCCACCCCTCCCTCCTCTTTCCATTCTTTGTCTACCAGTGGCAGACATCATGGCTGATGCTACCTTTTCCTGCCCCGCCGCTGCCTCAGTTCTCCTCTTCTGCATTCACGTCTCGCTGGCCTTGATCTGAAAAGATACATTATCGGAGTCCAAAAACAAATAGATAAACGTGTTAAATACACTTTCTGGAGACGTTCAAAAGGAAACCTTGGCTTGTTTGTGCAGTTGTTATCGACAACCGAAATGACCTCAAGCTATTTCATTTTTCCCTCCTCCTCCCCCACCAAGCAACAGTGAGGAAAAGATGTGAGTCAAGAAATACATTTTTTTGCAGCATCTCTGGATGGTAATGATGATGCACATCACTTCACAATCACCAAGACTGCTTCCGCTTTTATTTTAAATCACCCTAAATTGTTACTTTAAAGTACTGATCAAACTACTTTTTGTTGAGCAGGGCTCCTCAATCAAATGTTGGAGTTTCATCCGACCTTACAATTTGCTCTTATTATCAAAAGCAACATGTAATCAAAGACGATACAATGAAGTGTCATTGAGCCCGTGATGTGTTCTTGCTTCTCCTTTTGCAG